GGAACTGTAGGTACCTGGCATCTCTAAAGAAAAGAGTTCTCCAAGTAATATTTTCTTGTCTTTGGTGAGATTTGAAGGTCATATTTTCGTGATGTTTTAAGGTCAGAATACATGAGTATTCATTGAGATGTAATTACTGACTTGAATAACTCCACTCTAGCTAGTCACAAGTTTAAATGTATATGATAAGATTGATTCTTTGTGGGCTGAAGGCTCATGGGAGTGAAGGATGTTTAATGCCAAATCTCTCTGCCTGAAGGAGAAGCAGCAGCTTTAGCAGCCTGTGCCTCTAAGAAGGGCTGTTGCTTCTCAGTTTCTCCATTTGAAGATTTGACTTTTTTACTTGAGTGTTACTGATTTTGCCACAAAACTGTGCTTTACCCAGGAACAGGGACTTCTGTATTTCTATCTACTGGTTCAAAGCTTCTTTACTTATAATGCTTCCAAAACTTAACAGGCATTACACTAAACCCTGTTTTACATGTTTAAAACTGTAGCAACTTTACATTTACTCAGGTCAAAAAAAGACAGTATTTTGTAATTTTATTTATTTTTAAATATTTAAACTGCTTAGTAAAGAACACATAAAATGTGTCTGATGTATTGTGGCAGGGTCAATTCTGGACTCGCAGCTGATGGCTGTGTAGTCACCAGTCATGCATAAGACAGGTCTTCTATTTGGCTGGCAAACAAGGCACCAGCAGCAGCCTTACCCAACAGGTAGGAAAATAGGTAAATTCCCACAGTAGCCCCTGCTGCTTATATACTCAGGGAGCAGTTCTCTCTTAAGCACATGACGTTTCATAAACAGTGCCTGCAGTCCTGTAAAAGGCAACAGTCTTTCAAGCAGTATAACTGCAATTCAGTCTTTCTCAAAATAAGAGAGAACTGAAAGTGTACTTTGTTTCTTGGACTGATCTTCCTTGTGGATAAATCAGTATGAGACTTCCTGTGGTCCAAAGCAGTTTGTCTTGCCAAAATCTTTTCCTGATCAATGCAGATTTTTGTACCCCATTATACATATGGACAGCAATTTTGGGAAACATTAGAGGGACTAGGACTCTTACAAGACAGTGAAAAACGTTTTTTGACATGTGATATTTGAGTTCTAAAACAATGTTCCTATTCCATGTCATGAGAAACCCAAAAGCTTTTTAGTGAAGATGTTTCCTCATCGTATTATGGGCAACAGTCCATAATTCTCAACAGGAGTAACCCAAAATCTGAATTAGACTTCTGGATCATCTTTCTTTCTCCCTTGCTGGTCCAGTGAATATATAATTGTTTATACACAATGGAACAGCAAGAGAATTTGGGAGAGATTTTTCTTGCATAACATCTGGAAGTACTATGGTCTTTTTTCATGTTATTTTTGCTCTTCATATTTTGACCAGAGTTATTTCATTTTTGGTAGGAGATGAGAATTCCCGTGGAAAATTTCAGTTTTGACAAAGCAGTATTTTCTGGCCCAAATAACTCTTTGGTTGGAAAATTCTGAAGCATAGGCCACATTTCGCAATATTGAATACGATGGATGTTCTCCATATGTGATAATGTCTGATCAGTTTAGGCTGGCATTATAATGCAGTTATAACATATTTAGGATAACAGATCAAATATCTGAAGGGAGAGTGTAAAGAAGACAGAGTCAACATATTTTGGTGCTCAGTGACAGGACAAGAGGCACTTGGCACAAACTGAAACACAGGAGCATAAGGAACCTCTGAACATAAGGGAACGCTTTTTTTACTGCAAGGGTGACTGAACACAGGTTACCCAGAGAGGTGTGGAAACTCTATCCTTGCAGACAGTCAAAAGCTGTCTGGGTATGGTAACTGACACTAGCAGCTGGCTGGTAGAGAAAATTAATCATGTTACCATACATTTGCTTCCAGAATAGGCAAATATATGCAGTCTTTTGATAACAAATGACTTCTGAATAGTACACTTTTTCATGGAAAATTTTCTCATATTTCAAAAGTAAATAAAAATAAATAATTTCACTTTGGTCTCAGTGCTAAATAAAAAGCTGAATTTCAGTCTGAATTGACATGAAATTCTGTCTGTTGTTTTCTGTTGTGGTGGAAAATTGAAAAATAAATATTTCTGACTACCAATTTGAGAAGAAATACAAAAACTCCACAATTTTTTTAAATCCAAAGTACTCGATCAGTTCAATGTGCTGTGATAAACCCCCTAAAAGCTGGATGATTTTTGTATATAGCTATAGTCTGTGTAATCATATCGACTTGTAGCTGTTGCATTTATTTTGCTCTTGCTTATCATTCTCTTTATTATCAATTAAGTCTTATCTGAATTAAATTATTAGCATGTAGACTGTCTCTTGCTCAATGCTTGTGCGATGCATATCCTAATTGTCTCCATCTTCCTTTCAGATCTGGGGTTGCAAAATATAAAATAAAATAACAAAATCCTGCCTTCTGTTTTCTATACAGAGAAATTGTGCAGTCTCTGTCATAGAGATTTTTCAAGACCTGACTGAATAAAGCCTTGAGAAACCTGATCAGTCCTCAGAGCTGACCAAGCTGTGAACAGGACGTTGGGCTAGAGATCTCCTGAGATCCTTTCCAACCTAAAGTATCCTATGATCCCAATCATCTTAATTTTGACAATTGCCCTGCCAGTGTGAGGTGTGTTATGGTAGCATAGTACACCAGTAGGAAGTGTGTTGCTGTATGATACAGGAGCTCTTGAAAATCATCAGAAACTTGATTTAAAAGGAGTAAATCTGTTTTTAAAGAATGGTTTTTTGTACCATGTTAAAGTTAAGATGTTACTCAGGAAGTAAATGCATATTGGTAAGGGAATATAAGTCTCTGAATAGGTTATTAGGTAGGCAGAGGTCAAACCCACCTTTCTTTACTGGTATGAATAGCCTCATGTGGGGTCTTGAGCTCGGAAACTTGTAGTTTCTCAAGCCTGAGAGGAAATCCCCTAATAGATTTATTAAATACTTATGTAATTATTTCTTCTGTATTTCATTTAATCTCACACTATTTGTGTTTCTTTTTTTGTTTTCTTTCTGTGAAAGGTCAGTGTGAACCAATTACTCTGGAACTCTGTATGAACTTGCCTTACAACTATACTTATTACCCAAACTACCTGGGCCACAGGACGCAGAAGGAAGCCTCTATCAGCTGGGAGTCTTCTCTTTTCCCAGCCTTGGTTCAAACCAACTGCTACAAGTACCTTATGTTTTTTGCCTGTACAATCTTAGTACCAAAATGTGACCCCCATACAAATCAGCGGATCCCACCTTGCAGGTACTATGCTATACTTCATTTAATTCTTGACTGACATTGTCTGTCATATCAGTCTTTCCCAATTTTCTATTTCCATTGAAAATGCCAGAAATTTTGCTTTGGAATTCCATAGCAAAAGGTAGAGAACCATATTTTATAAGATCATTAAATGCAGTTTGTTACGTGTGTGATTAGTATCTGGAGTATTCAAAACAAGGAGAGGAAAGCAGTTCAATAATTTTCAAAATGTATATATTGAATAGAATATTTCAGTTGGAAGGGACCTACAATGATCATCTAGTCCAACTGCCTGACCACTTCAGGGCTGAACAAGTTAAAAGCATGTTATTAAGAGCATTGTCCAAATGCCTCTTAAACATTGTCAGGCTTGGGGCATCAACCACCTCTCTAGGAAGCCTGTTCCAGTGTTTGACAACCCTCTCTATGAAGAAATGCTTCCTAATGTCCGTTCTGAACCTCTCCTGGCACAGCTTTGAACCATTCCCACGCGTCCTATCACTGGATACCCGGGGGAAGAGATCAGCACCTCCCTCTCCACATCCCCTCCTCAGGAAGCTGTAGAGAGCAATGAGGTCACCCCTCAGCCTCCTTTTCTCCAAATTAGACAAGCCCAAATTCCTCAGCCACTCCTCACAGGACATTCCCTCCAACCGTTTCACCAGCTTTGTTGCTCTACTCTGGACACATTCAAGGACCTTCACATCCTTCTTAAATTGTGGGGCCCAGAACTGCACACAGTACTCAAGGTGAGGCTGCACCAATGCTGAATACAGCAGGACAATCCCCTCTTTTGACCAGCTGGTTGTGCTGTGTTTGATGCACCCCAGGACATGGTTTGCCCTCTTGGCTGCCAGGGCACATGGCTGACTCATACTGAGCTGGCTGCCGACCAGCACCCCCAGATCCCTTTCTGCAGGACTGCTCTCCAGCCACTCCTCTCCCAATTTATACTTGTGCCTGGTGTTACTCCATCCTATGTGCAGGATCTGGCATTTGGACTTGTTAAATTTAATCCCATTAATCATTGCTCAGTACTCCAATCTATCTAGATCCCTCTGCAAGGCCTCTTGTCCCTCGAGTCAACAGCACCTCCCAGTTTGGTATCCTCGGCACACTTGCTAATGGTGCATTCAACTCCTGCATCCAGATCACTGATAAATGTATTGAACAGAACTGACCCTAGAATTGAGCGCAGAGGAACATCACTGGTGACCAGTCACCAGTCAGATGTAGCCCCATTCACTGCAACACTTGGAGTCAGTTCTTCACCCAGCACACCGTGAACTTGCTTACCTCACAGTCAGACAACTTGTCCAGAAGGATGCTGTGAGCTTTGTATGAAACATTTTCCATCTGTGTCTTTGATTAGAATTGCACAACTATAAAGGATATTTATACATGGAATCAATTAATTTAATTTGGAACATTAGCATTTGTAGTAGTTCCCTTGCATTAGTATATCGCTTTATCTATGCAAAGCCCTATGCATATACTATCAACAAAAACTGAGATCTTAATGCATGGTTACCTTTCTAAATTAGAGAAGTGCCACATCATTCTGAACTATAGACTAATTTAGGCTTTCTACTTGTCAGATTAGCTTTTCTACTATCCTCATCAACAACACTGTACTTTTCAGGGTTATGCATGGATCTGTTCAAAAGAGAGTATGTTCTGTAAATCTTATGGCTTTGGTAGCAGCAATTGTTGCAGGTTAGGAGAGTGAATAAACCTGATCAGCAGGCAGAGCTCTTTTAGCTACTGGCTGCTAGAGCCTTCTCATAGTGTATTTCTGCAATACATGCCCTAAGATTTCCTACCACGTGACATTGTTGACAAATAGATATATTTCTTTGTCCAGTGATGTGCTGCTTAGTGCAAGTTGAGAGAGTGAGTCACAGGGAAATTTACTAAGACATTCCTTAATTTTCACATAGAGACCTAACAGGAAAGTTAGAATGTTGCATATGGGACAGCTGTGAAGTTAGAGTGGTTTGTGCAAGCTGTGTTTCAGGCTTGCTTGTTTGAAAATCAAGTCTCTCTCTTTTTTCTTTTTTTTTTAAGAAAGTGGTATAATAAATAAATATTGGGCTAACATATTCTAATGTAGAGGGACAAAAGTTAAATTATAGACTCTGCTTCAGCAACAACACAGCTAGCTAACAGATTTTAGGAAGTATCATCATACAGTAGAATAGTTTTCAAATTTCAGGTATTAAACAGACAAAGAGGAACTCATAAAAACCGTACAATAATTTAGTTTGAAGGGGACCTCTGGAATTCATCTGGTGCAACTTCCTGCTCAAAGCATGATAACATTGCATTTAGATCAGATTGAATATACAACATAAAATTTTAAATCCTAGGATTGAAAGCTCTACTTTTATAACTGTTTTCAGGTTTCGCTCTTATGTAAGATCACAAGTAGAGATTGATTTTATCAGGAAGGGATACCTTGGAGGGTCCCACTGAGATCTGTAGTATTTGCTTTACAATAATGTTTTAGGAAGAATTTCAGATACAGATCGAATGTAAAAATGTTTTAGAAATGAAAACACATATAGCCTTATACTAATAAACTCTTGACTTAATTGATAAATGTAGGGCAGAAAAAACATTAAATACATTTGATATATAAATATAAATCTACTTAACTGCAGTTTGAAGTTCCTAGAAGGCAGAATGTTATATTCTGAGCACAGAAACTATATTCTGAGAATCTGCTGCTGCCTTTGCAAAATAGCTGCCCTCTTGTTCAAAGATATCAGTGGTTAGTTGAGCTTAACAGGACATATGTATCGCTTTACGTGTCTTTTCCTGTAAATATGAAATGCAGTTCAGGTAATGCAGTTTTTCAGGGTTAAGCTTTTCAAGTCAAAGTGCACTTTCCAACCATGAATTGCGAATTCATGTTATAATTCTACATCTATTTTAAAATATACTTTAAAAATATAATACATCTCTGATAATACTGGCACATTGATCTGTCTTTTCATTCTAGGTGGTATAGCTAAACGATTTTAATTCTACCCCCTCTCTATAAAACATCTGACCCTGATTTGCAAGGCTTTTCATTGTCTTTGTGTTATTAGTTTGAGTGTCATGCTTTATTTTTTAACTGTAACAGTCTTGATAAAGTTTTGTTCAAAGTAAGGAACACCAGTGAAGAGGTTTTTTTGAAAGAACTGGACTTGCTGTTATTGAGGCCATTCATTGATCTATCAAGTATGTTTTCAAATTCTGAAGAGTATTCTTCATCTCTCAAGGCATTGGTAATATTAGTCCAGGTCTAGTGAAATAATCTTTGAAGCCAAGTGTGTGCTGGGTTCCCGTTGGAGTCTAATGGAGTTTCATAGATTAAGGACATATGGAATAAGCTCAGAAATTCCTGTTTCCTTATAATTACAAACTATGCTATGAATTGATTCTGTAAGATGCTGAGCAGCTTCTGGAGATTCTCGGTCTCACAACATTTCAATAAGTCTATCAGTGTCCCCTGTTTTGGGACCGGTAAATGCCTTCTTAGTCTCGTTAGGCTATAATGACATGGAGATTACACTATCTGTGTATTTAAGTAGTCTCCAGCTGACTTTGGTGTTGTTTCAAAACTGTGACAGATGTGTATGAAAAATAATCCTGGTCAAATCTCATGCTCCTTATGTGTTGGCATCAATTTAGGCATTCTATTACTGTATTTGAATTGGAACAGTAAAGAAATATTTTAGTTAACAGCTGAATATGCTTAATGTTCTTAAAGTGCTAGATTGAATTCCATTGCAGAAAATTACACATTTCTATGCTACATCTGTGTTTTCTAGCTTGTATTTCTTTCCTCTACCAAAAAGGGGAAGATTTCTCTGCTTTGTGATGTGTATTCTTGTTAACTGTTGTTAGATTGATTCATAGACAGTACGACAGATGAGATATATACTGAGAAGTACATAAAGAAGTCTGTTACCAAGGTATTCTGATATCCCAACTGTGAGACTTGGTATGGGAATGTGGGAAGGATTAAAAAAAAACAAAAGTACCAATTGCTTTTCTGATTTTCCTAGCAGTATTGCAATAGTCTTCTATATGTGTTGTGGTGGGCACTACTTTGGAGATTATCTATATTTTAATTCTTTCAACACAGACTGACAACTAAATGGCTTGCAATAGCTTTTGGAAAGGGTCAGCTTTGGCCAGAGGTTTGAGTGTGCAGAGAACATAGGACAGAAATGGCTTAGAAGTCTCAGATAACTAAATCAAATTTTTAAATTGTATTCATCGTATTATTGTTGTTGGTTTTGGGTTTTTGTCATTGGTAAATAAAAATTCTGGCGTTTGGAAAACTGAGGTTGTAAAGTGGTGTGAGTCAGCCTTTTTGGTATTGAGGAGGATCCAAAAGGAAAGAGAGAGTCTGTAACTGTAGATGGTTAACCGATGTCAACTCAGTCATTCATTCCTTCCAGTTGCTCAACTCAATGGTCAGTCATTTGGTGTGGAAAACCATTGACTCTTCATGCAATGCCCCAAAACAAAATTAAATTTGAGAAGATTAATAATGTATTGCGTTCTCAAAAGAGCGTAAAATAATTGATCCTAAATGGATCTGTTTGCTTGGTTTTGGTCACTGCATTTCTTGAAGCTTATTGCAGGAAAAACAACGGTCCATCAGTCAAAAGATCAAAAGAAAATGAGTGGAATAGAAGGCTTTCCATGAAGGGAGTGTCTGTTTCTAGAAGAAAGATCTGGAAAAAATAATCAAATTAAATAAAAGGCAAGTTAAAAGTGACATGAAGGAAACTGAAAAAAATAGAAATGGGTGGGATCCTACTGTTGAATATTTTTCAACCTATAAGAACAAAGGAGAATTTTCTTTGAAATGGTAGGAGAAAGTCCAAATGTTTAGGTTTAGAAAATATTGATCTAAAAGGTGCAGTGAAATGTGTTGCTGAGTCTAGAAACAAGGGAAGACTTGGGGAGACATCACAGTCTTCAGACAGGTAAATGTGAGCTTCTGTGAGAAAATAAATTGTTCACCATGTTCACTGAGGTTAAACCAGGAAGCAATGGATTTGAAGTACATCATGAGAGCTGTAGGTCAGAATAAAGAGAGTAAGAGATATCTGTGTATGAGAATGAGAATGATAAGGAAGTATATGAAATCTTGCTAACTCATGAGTTTTTAAGAACAGCTTAGACAAATACCTGTTAAGCATGATGCATGTTTCTGTTTGGAGGAAGAGATGAAAAGGATGTTGAGGTTCCTAATCCCATACTGCCTAGTTAACATTCCACAGAAGTCAATTAAAAAAAAGGTGGTTGAAACAAACAGGAATTCAAAATACCACAGATACAAGACAAGACTATTGGATTGAACAGCACATCAGCTATGATTCCGGGCAAAAGTAGTTGCTAAATGTTTAAAATAATTCCTAAAATAATAGTGGATTTTTCTATTATGTATTTTCTCTTTGTACTTTTGAAGCATTTGACGTTGGGTATTTTGAGAGACAAGATATTAATCTAGATGGACTGAACTAATTTTGTGTGGTGAGTCCTGTCTTTCTATGGTTAAAAAAAAAATGCAGCAGGAGAACTATATTCATGCCTTTTTCCAGGTGTGATACAGGCTTCTATGACTAGCTGACAACACCCTCAAGATTAGGTTGATCTGTGCTTTGATTTTCCCCAAACTTTTTATTTTATTGGATTCCCTGGGCAGTTCTTTGCTCTTTTGTTTGCAGGTTTAAATATTTTGTCCTTCTGAAACTACATAGTTTCTGAAGTAGCATCATCAGAAGAGATAGGATTTCACTGGTACAAAATGTATTTTCCTTTTTTTCCTGAAGGAGAGCAGTTAGTGCTTCTTAAAAAAGGTTCTCTGCCATACCTTACAGAGGAGAGGATGTTTGTAAGTAGTTATATTTGACTATTATGTTATAACTCAGGTAATAGTCTGCATACAGTAACTTAAAATAATGTTTCAATAGTAGCAACATATCTTTTGATATATATTTTTTTTTCATGTAAAGAAATCTGATTAACCGATTCTTCCTTGATCTTCATCTTTAACTTTGGCTAGGATTATTACCTTTCAATAACTGGGAATTTCTAAGACTTTCAGTCAGTTACTTTGTGCAATTCTACTTTGTCTCCTCAGGACATTATGTGTACAGTCTAAGGAACGCTGTGAGTCTGTGCTTGGGATTGTAGGTCTGCAGTGGCCAGAAGATACTGACTGCACTCAGTTTCCAGATGAGAACTCAGACAACCTAACTTGTCTAACACCAGATGAAGATGTAGAAGGTAACTCCTATAAATACATGTAACAGGAAATTAAATATTTAATTTAAATATATGTAACAGGAAATTAAAGATTTAATTAGGTTCCCAAACTCACTGATTTTTTTTTTTTTTCCCCATACCTCCTCTTTAAATTGTAATATTTAAACTGTGGAAATGATTCCAAACTGGATTTCAGGGAATTTGTATACCTACAGTTTTGCAGATAAGAGGAAGTTCTCATAAGAAATCTATTTGAAAGAAGGATCAATTACTCTCAATCTGTGAAAGTCAGTGTTTGGGATTTGTTGCTAAGACCACACCTACTGCTTGCTTGTATTTATACTTAACTTTTTAACCTATTTAGATGATATAATAATGCTTTTCTAACCAGGAGGCAGACTCTTGGCAATCTGAGTCAAATCTGAGTCAAAAAGCTGAGCCCCACGACAGCTTTGAGAAAAATATTGTAATGTTAGCATCTTTGCCAGCTATTGTTTGCTCTTGGTTTTTGTTTGGGGTAAGTTTTGTAGAGAGTTGTGCCAAACCAGCTTCAGTAGCAAATGATAAATTTCAGTTTTTCAGTTCAGCCATAATACTAATCATTGTGGGTGAGACCATAGAACAAAAGAATGAAATTGCCTTAAATGCTTCAAGATATGCTTTGTACGTATGAAGAGAGAAGCTGTGCAGCTTTTCCTGCAGTGGTCATCGGATGTGGGATCTGTGGGGATTCTGACATGCCTTTTCATTTTCTTGCCAAAATGCCAGTGAAGTAACTGGGAAAATAGTGAGATGGTGTGTGCTACAGTGCCTACAATATGCTGATCGTGTTCGGTTCTCACTCTTCTCCTCCTACTCGCTCACCTACATGGTGATGACAGTTTTTCCACAGCCTTGATCTTGCTCAGAGAAAGCAATGGGTGAAAGCTAGCTAGTCTACAGTTCTTTTAGTGAAGATGTATTCCTGGGAATATAGCGGAGGAATCATGAAAAACCAGTAAAGCATATATAGCAGTTATACTATTTCTTCAAGCAAAGTCCATGTGCACATATATCCCTAGGAGGATTTTATAAAGATGTGTAATACCATAGTACTGAAATCCTCTGATATGAGACTCTTGAGAGACAAGGAGATAATTTCCCTCTGCAGTAGTAGGCTGATGAAAAGGAATTATCCATTATTACACAGCAGTGTGTAGGAAAGGAAAAGTAAGATTTTTGGCACAACAAGGTGAGTTAAAGAAAAATAATGTGATTTAATTTTCTCAGGTATCAAATGTCTTTTAACCTTCCTTCCTGTGTTATTAGATCTTTTGGCTTTGAAATGTGACATAAATATACTACTGCATGCAGGACTAGTGTGTTCCGGCTCTAGAGATAAATTCTGTTCACTTATAAAAATTAAAATTTAAAAAAATTATAACTTTAATTAGAGGAATTCTGCCTAGTAAGCTGATTCACTGCTTATTGATCATCTTAGCACTGAAATTGATATTCCTGGAAGATCAGTGAAAAAGCAGGGGATTTTAGTATTCTTTTAGAAACAGTGTAACAAATTAAAGGGTCTTAGCAGAGTTGTTTTGGTTTCACTTACTGCTAGAATTTTATGTTGATTCAATGCCAGGTTCCTACAGACTACCAATGTTGGTTAGAAAGTCTTCCCTGGAAAGTTTAAAATCTTATATAAATATTTCTGAAAAAAACAAACACATGCAACAAAAGAAATTAAGCTTCTGAGAGCATTTAAAATGTTTATGATTACAAAATACAGGTGATTTTCCAACTGAAGCTATAATTGACAGAGTTATTACAATGTGCTGAATTGCTTAACTTGTCTTCCAGTCAGTGCTGAATTTAAGAATACTGCTAGCCAAGACAGTATGCATTGTGAACTTAGTTATTTTCGTAACTAGTTATTCTTAAGTGTTGACAGTATAGTTTGTATACCTGAGTTCATTGATGATATTTTTGGTACAACAGTTTATTGAATCCTAAAATTTACCCAAGGAACTGCATGGTAGTAAATATCTGAGAGATTTTGCAGGAAGGAAAAAAACCCACAACAACATATGATGGAGGTTGTACATCAAAGTCAGTGACATGTACAGTGTGAAAAAATGAGTGGGATTTTCATAACCATCTAAATAAAGCTTTCTCAAAATTTTACTCTAAGATGAGGCAGAAGCGATGTAAAGGTTAATTAGTGGACATTTATAGGTGGTTTTATTAATTCACATAGCTACACAATTGCCAAAATACATTATTTTTTTTTAATCCTAGAGATCTCTTATACTCATTTCAACACATCAGATGATCTACTTCTGCTTTACACACCACCACAACAGCGAGAAAAGTAGCTAGAAAAGCCATGCCCACAATCTAAACATTGTATGCCAGTTATTTGGCAAAGCTTTGAAATTTGACAGAGTGTAGCATGTGAGGGAGAGCTCTGGAAAATATTGCTGCAGCCCATTCACAATGCAATTGTTAAGAGTCTTGCTTGCTGTGATTCTGTGATAGTTCCAGTTTAGTATTGCACAAGCTTTCTATTCCTGTCATTTACACTTCTGAAATAGTCACAGAGATAAATAAGTAAGAACCCATGTGATGATTAAGCTTGCAGCTTATGGATTCTTGTTTCTCGTGTTCCTTGTCACCAACAGAATGCTCACCCAGTCACTTCAAGTGCCGTTCGGGGAGGTGTGTCCTGGCATCCAGAAGATGTGATGGTCAAGCTGACTGTGAGGATGATAGTGATGAGGACAGCTGTGGTAAATAAATTCAATTAGTTGGATCTTTTAAATGGAGAGTGGTTGAAGCATTAGAAAATGAGTTTTGTTTTTCCTTCAGTTATTTGAACCATAGCATGACAGTTCAGAGGATAAGCCCCTTTTTCTGTAAGAAAAATATGTTTGCAAGTATGGGGGGTTTTTTAAGACTAGTGGCAGTAAAAATACTTTAGCAAGCACTCTTCTTGATTAATGTCAACACAATTTATGATATTTGATCATTTAGATTCTGCTAACCATATTCCAGAATGTTTGAATATTCCTTTATTAATCAAGACAAAAAATAGTGCAGATTTAATTCTTTTGATATTGCTGGAGGAGCTAAAATGTGACTTCCTGGAATTTTAAACTTGAATTCATAAACATAGTTTTAAATTTATACACAGTCATGTTCTCATTATGACGTAGTGATGAAAGATCTGTGTTGCTGAAGTGGATTCTGTACTGCAAGGATCAAGAATTAAATGTTTTTTCAGATTGGTCAACCTCAAGCTGTAGGTACAAGGATAAAGTGGTAACCACAAAGTTTATCCTCCAGTACATTTCTGAGTTTACTTATGGTAGAGATGCTTTTGACTTAAGGAGCTTGAGAATAACCAACAAATCTATTGGTCACTATTTAGCCTTGTACATGCTGGCAGGAGAATTTCAAGGAGAAGGGAGTTTATACTATGTCTTTATATGACTAAGGTGTAGCCTCCATGGAGTTCTGCATGCTGGCCTGGCATCCCTAGGGGCAAAGAGGATAATTATAAATCACTAAGGATTTAGAGAAGAGGTGTGAGTCTGAGTGAAGGATTGAAAAACATTCCAGCAGAGTAGGGCTAAGGTGCACAACTGGGTTTTTTTTTAACAGAGGGCAGGTGAAGATGGAAGCACAGATTATGTGAGCAACAAAACTGTGGCAATAAGAGACTTTCTACTCAGCTGCACAAAAATAAAATAAGATCCAACACCTGAAAGATGAAGCCAGGCTAAAGTTTAAGCTTGACGGCTCTACAAATAGCTTTTTTTTTTTTAAGAACAGGTTGTTTTAATGATTGGAGAAACCAAGGGTTTATTTATCACTAAGGCGTGATGTATTCTCAATCTCTGGGAGTTTTCAAATCACACTTGTATTCTCTCTCCTCTTTCAGCCCCATTCTCTTCCCCCTGCAAAAAGAAAGCAAAAAGAAAAAAAAAGGTGTGGTCACTGAAACAGGATTTAATACTAGCTCATTCTCTTGTTTGGATTATAAAGGAAAGGCAGAGCTGATGATCACAGTGACTCTTTCAGAGTTTGTCATCTCTTTACCTTTGAATTGTCTCAGTTGTCCTCCCTGCCAAATATTCTTTGTTGCCACTTGTTCTTAACTCCTTAGAACACTAATTGCTATGCATCTTTTAGGATAATTTTATTCTCTTAGACGTTAACATATGAAATATTGCTCTAATATATAACATTAATTTCTCGAGTGGATCTCTCTCTGTCTCTATAGTCTAGACAGAATGTCACTAGCAATCAGCAGAATTCTTATCAGTTTCTATAAATATGGAAGACTGTATCTGCTAGGAAATTACCACTGTCAGAGTGACATTACATTGACCAGGGTTAATACCGTTACTGAAGAACGGAAAGTCCTTGTAGAGCTCCAGAAGTAACTGTCTCTGACTCATTCACATTCCATGTGTGCAGGACAAAATCAAAACTTGATGATCTTTCCATGTATAAATGGCTAGCTCACATTTTATTAGATTTATCCTTTGAAATTGGTTTTATACCATTAAATAGCAGTCAGCATTTAAATTAAAATCTTTGTATTTGAGGTGCCTTAAATGACAGGCATGGAACAACTTCACAGTGCAGGAGGAGGGAAGCTGGAAAAGACTAGCTACAGCTTGTGGACGCTCAAGCTACTCTGGCCAGAAATGTAAGGCAGAACAGTCCAGAGGGACTAAGGTATACTCTGCCTATGCAGAATAGAACTGTATTCAGCACCCACTGTCTCCTCCTGTTAGGAATCCCTGTCATACTTTCACGTGATCTTTGTGAGAGGAAATCTCACCCATGCAATTGCAGCAAAATCCTAAGACTGTAGTGCCATTTAGACTAGGGTTTGGGGAGAAAATTTGACCCAGATTCCTGAATGTGAGGCTTCTGAGTGCATTTCATAAAAGCATGAGGAAGATAATTTCTGAAAATCATTATTATGATAGACATCAAGAGAGTTTGTGGTATTCAGTGTGCTTGATTGTAATTGATCGTATTAATTTACTGGCTGATGAACAATGCCTATGGTAGAAAGCAGAAGAAGGTCCTAGAAGAGTACTAAAGAAATTGAGGACATAATATTCAAACACAGTATTGTTCTTCACAATTTTCTGTGGTCTGACTTCTGACTGTACTATTTTAGTTCAGAGAAAAATGTGGTGGTCTTAATGTTAATGACTTAATAATAATTGCATGAGGAATATACATGTGAATAACAAATGGTAACATCCTTCATATTTTGAAGAAGAATGAAGGTAAAATCATATGTGAATCCTTATCTCTTACCAAAACATGTTTGAGATGGGGGTAATGTAGATACCAACAAGTTTTCCTACCTCCATTTTCACTTCCATTTCATTGTCATTAAATTAAAAATGCTTGTCACAAAGATATTTAGAGAAGCAATGTAAATACATGAAACAGTAGATGACTTCTACCAACGAAACAGTATATTTGAACACCGAATTCAGTAAGTAGTAAATTTTTTCCTGGGGAATTGTCTATATTTGTCTATGTTGTACTCAAAGATAAATTTTGGAGAGTCATGGTACACTTCAAAGTGTAACACTGTAATGCGTGATGAAGGGGAAAAGCAAACATGTGTTTAATTAATTATAAACACTCTGCTAAAAAATTGCAAGGTTCATAAATTATATTCTTTTAAGCTTTTATATTTTATTTTCATACCAAGTTTCTAACATGACCAACATTCTTTGTTCTTTATTAGAGTAAAGGTTTTGTTTGATTTCAATTAATTTTTCATTAATAGTTATCACAAATATTGTCAAGAAGGAGACATGGAAAATGGTGATACCCAAGAAAGTTCCTTGATCATGTGGAATTAATTTCACAGGTTCAAGGGTATTTATTTCTCTGTGCTGTAACATTTATTTACATGGCTTTTTGAATCTAAATAAAATCAATAAAATCCACACATCCAGTTACAGTTAAAACTTGAGTAGATTTTTCCAGCAATCATAGGAGCTGGTAGTGATGATCTGATTCATGTTTGTAAAATACTTCTGAAATAACACTTCTTGGAAACAATGTATTTGCTTAGTAACTTACTGCTGATATGCTGCTGTAGTTCCAGGTCTGGGCAAACAGAGGTGCTGCTTCAAATGTAGTTTATGAGTTTATACCTCAACTATTTGCGTGTGGGGACATCAGGGCTCTCGCCTGAATTTGAGCTTGGATTAAAATGAAAACTAGTATTGTCATCTATAGAAGAAGCCAAAGGCGGCAATCAAACCATCTGTTTTAGTCAGGAGAACACATTGTTTTTTTGGCTTCCTATGAAGCCAGAATGTCAGATGTGCAGGACATGAGTATGTCAAAGTATTTAAACTGATATCACAGTGAAGTGCTTTATTAGTTGATGGAAATAAATAGTGAAATAAAACAAGAGAAAAAACTTTTCTAAAATGTGACTTGGGCCATTCTTAATTTCCACTAGCTGACTAACAAGAATTTTACTGTCAAAGCACTTTGACACAGTTTTGTAAGTATTCCTCTTGAAATCAGGGAGGCTGGCTAGCAGGGCTTTGAAGAGACAATAACGCAGTGTGTTCCCTGCATAATAATGAACACTCTTGAAGATTCATACAGCCATTGGGTCTTTCTAATCTTTTTGAACTGGTTTGGTCTCGGATTATGGAACCAGGAAAACTGTTTGTGGTCAATACTTAACAGCATCTCTCCACCTTTCATTGTGATCTATATTAGATTCTGTATCAGCACTGCCAGAAAAAATTACATACTTCTACATTGTTTCAAGGAGATTCCATGCTGTCATAAAATTTGCTTTTGAAAGACCAAAGGTCTGTGTGGTACAATTTTAAAGAAAACCCTACAGACTTCAGGATCAGAAAAGTTTATATATTACTAGTAAATGTATTTCAAGAGTAGTGGTGTATAGGTTTTGAGCTAATTGAGTTAATGCCTAAACCATTACTTATAGCTATGTGTAGCATAATATAGATTATTATTTAAAAAACAGTGAAGTATTATGCAGTGCTATATATTTTATACCCATTTATCAAGTGTGCACTGTGTCAATCTTATTTCCATTTCTTCATTAGTAACTATTCATGATACCTTTTAAAATTTATATTGCAAGTGAAATTATTTTGGGTGTTTCAGGATTATTATGAAAGAAGAGAACAGTTGATTTGATATTGCATTCAAGTGTTTCAAGACTGTGCTTCTCTGCTTCTAGGTTGTAGAGAAAGGGATCTTTGGGAGTGTCCTTTGAAGAAGCTGTGCATCAAACACACTATGATCTGTGATGGTTTCCCAGACTGCCCTGACATGATGGATGAAAAGAACTGCTGTAAGAGCTTATGCAGTTTGTTAGTCCCGAAAAGGGCTGATCACATTTTTGGGATCTTGGGATGCAAAATAAATGAAAGCAAAAAGGTTTTCTACAGACAGAAAAGCTTAGTCATTCTCTCAGTTTCCTTTTAAGTTTTTCTATGGCACCAATTTATCTCTTTCCTCACCTTGTGTCCTCTGTACTTCACATCCTTGGATCCTTGCCATCTCCTTGGTCATTCCAGTCTTCTCTCTTTTTTTTCTCTCTCTCCCTCCTCCTTCTTGTGTCTTTGAGCTTCTTTTCTTTATTCCTTGTAGCTTCTTGTCTCCTTTTCCCATTTTTTCTCAACTTCATTCCATGTAGGTATAGCTGCTCACTGCTGTTTTTTCCTTGATCTCCACTTGGTTTTCCTTCTGATCTCTTCTTCAGTAAATTTCATATGTCTCTTTGCTTTATTTGATTTCTCTTCTGCTTGACATTTCTTTGATTCTGTCTCCCCACTTGGCTCCACAGGCTTCTACAATCCAAACCGTGATTTAGTGTCAGAGATACAAAACTTGGTATGTTACACTGACGGTACGGGCCTACTGTCTATGTGTACAGTGTAAGCTGGCTTGAAGTGCTGACAGTGTGCAGCGCAGGTCCACTGCGGGACCTGCCCCGTGTTCTGTTCCTGCTACGCAGCTGACTAGTGGGATGGGACGAGGTGGAAGACCTGCAAACGGCAGCTGCTTTTCAGGCTCCCACCCTTAGTGTGAAACTGGGAGTTGATACCGTGAGATGTTAGTTTCACTTCCTTGAATATATTAGTGATACTTCGAATTCTCTTCTTTTGAGAAAACCTGGTATGTGGGCATGTCCCCAAGACAAGGAACTAGAAAAGATATACTGAGTGACATTCAGCCTGCAGAAGAAAGAAGAGATACTTCTTAAACTTGGTTGAAAGCTGAAATTTTAGTTCTCTGGGCAATCCTGGTATTTCAGCATTTTTGCTAGGACTGTAGGATATAATTTTATAATTTAAAAAAAAGTTGCTTCTGGGTCTCTGGAGTTCTGTTAGCAGGGACAGGATGGTAGGCACATATTGTGTGCTATGTGGAGCATATGATAGATTTGCCAAAATGAGTGGCAGCCTGTATATATCACTAGATCTAATTTTGTTTCTTTTTGGAAAGAGGCAGCTCACAGAACATCTTTTAATCTGCTTTTCATTGTGCAGATTATACCATTTGACTTCCAAGTGGTCTGTGTGCTGTAATCTACAAAAAGGAAGGTGGTATTAAACTGATTTGCTCATGATCACACATTAAGATTATGGTAGAGAAAAGATTCTCCAAGGGCTTAGGTTAAGCTGGTCTATAATTAGCAGACCATGTTTCCTCTCTGCTTTTGTGTTGGGGCTTGAATATTCCAAAACGACAGCAAAGTTTCCCCAGCTGAGGGCTTCCAGCTTTTGAAATATGCTCTCACTAGAAGGCAGAGTTAAGAGAGCTTTTTCTAGTTTTGCACGCCTTATTCCAGAGCCGGAAAGATCACTTACATCAGAACAGGCAGCACTGCCTGCTCTGTCTGTATGGTTTTCACTGTGGAGTACATTTTTTGCACTAGTGTTGCAAATAAATGCTTGGTTTGTATGGCAGTGTAGATGCTATGCAACAGCCAGACATAGGCAGAACTGAATGCAACTTCCTTCTGCTCGTTCTGTCTCTCTCCACCCTCCCCCAGCTCTCAAAATTCCCTAATGGTGGGGTTTATAGAGGCTGGAAGAGAAGTGTGTTAGTGAGGAGCGTACTGTAACAGTACACATCTGCCTTTTGGGAGTGGGGTTGTTACGGTTGGGGGGAAGCTGAAAGGCACTTGCAAATGGAAGCTCTCATGGTTCCTGCACTGGACAGAGATTCAGGAGATCCCTATCCAATGCTGGCAGCTGGCAACCAACTGTGAACTGCCACTTGTCTATCTGTACATCAGTTCCTCATCTCTAAAGTGGAGATAAAAGTAATTCCATGATTTTAAGTAGCAAAGGAGGATCCAAAAGTGAATATAGAATTGCTGTGGATGAAAGGAAATACATATGCACTACAGTAGAAGATTTTTTTCAAAGAACCCGAAGAAATAAACAGATTTCGAGCAGTCTCCTAAAAAGCATGGAGCACAATATTTTCACTTAAAGCTTCTGAGAGGCTTACACAGGTTTCATATGACCAGACCACAAATGATACTAAGAAATCACAGATCTTGCTGTTTCCAGACTCCCTCCCTTCCCTTTGAGTTGCAATGCCCTCTGCCACTGAACAGCAGCAACCACCTTCTGCCTCAGTGATGTCCATCCTGAATTTTGTTGCACATCTGTCTTGGTTTCTTGCTCCATAAATCTCATCTGTGCCTACCTTCACCCTCCTTCTCATTTTTTCTGTCTCAATGTGAACTTCACATTGATCGTTTCTTTCTCAGAGTGAAACATGTTTTTGTCCTTGCAGCATTTTGTGAAGAGAGTGAACTTGAATGTGCCAACCATGAATGTGTGCCACGTGAGCTCTGGTGTGATGGGCAAGCAGACTGCAGTGACAGCTCAGATGAATGGGACTGTGGTAAGTTTCCACTGTGGTGCGCTCTGCCTGGAAGTGATGTTTGGGTGACGGTAGTAATCACTGGTGATTTGATTTACAACACAATTGCAGTGGTGGAGAGATGCTCCCTTTATTACCAAAGGGAGACTGGGCTGAGGTTGGGAAAGCATGCAAGAAACTGGGCAAAAGAGAAAGGAAAGGCTCAGTGTGAAGTGTCACAGTGCAAAGATATAAGAAAAATTACATGGCAGGGAACTTCTAAAATGTGTAGATGGTGTGTAAAATCTGGAAAGTGTTGTGGATAGAAGAGAGAGTAGGAAGATGTTCAGATCCGGAATTCATTTGGGCAAAACTTCTAAGCCCTGATTCTGTACTTGTGAAAATCAGTGTGAAATTCCCACTGACTGCAATGGTGCAAGCTCAGAGCTTATGAGAAGATAGTCCTGCTAGGGCCCCTTTGCACTGGCTAAAGACCTGCAGAATGATGTAACCTGCTGTTGTTGTCTGTATTCAGATTAGGCCTCATGCTTTTATGTGCTGTTAAAGTAGAACTCTCAAAGTGTTATTCTTTAAATAAAAATGAAGGTAGATTTCAAAAAAATTGCACTGAAAAGCAGCAGGATGGAAAGTGGTAGTATGGTCTTTCAGATTTCACTGAGTTGACATGCGTTTCTGTACATAACAGTACTTTATATTATTAAGTTTTGAGATGCTTTGTAGGTAATTTTAAGTACAGAAAAAAAGTGTACCATGGCTTACAGAAACAAATATTTTGTATTCATATTGAAGTAAAATTGTATAAATATTTTAAAACAATTAACCTTGCATCAACATTAGTAAACAATAACATTTAATAAAACCTATCCAACAGAGAAGAACTGTTCTGGAAATGCGTATTTGAAAAGGAGTATTCTAGGATTATTACATACCTTTCTCATGGGGAAAGAAGCAAAACCACCTTCAGCGTATAGGAAAAATGGGTAGTGACTGGATATGTTAAGATTAGTACTATTAAAGCAAAAGTCAGAGGTATGGTTTAACTAAAACCAGTATGTATTTGGGGAAGAAATGCACACAACCCAACATCTTTTAAAGGATCCTAGAAAGGGAGAGGTGTAGATTTCCATTTTGGGCCATTCTGAGAAGCTTTTTGTGTGTGATAAAAGCAGTTCACACACTTTTGTACATGGATTAAGAGAGAAGCAATGGTCATGATCTTTCTTGTAGACAGTAGTTGTTTTTCTTTCTCTAATTACACCCACATATTGTTATGACAGTAACAGTGCATATTACTGAGAGTCAAATGATGGTATCATTCTTACGTCAAGCAGTATTCATCCCACAAATTACTTAGTGATTTCAGTTGGACTATTTGTGGGGTAAAACATCATTTAATAAGATTAAGGCTATCAGAAAGCCATGTGAACCTGTGCTGGTGAGTCAAGAGCATTCTGGCTTATTCTAATCCTCAAGATGCCTTTGCTGTTTAGTGTCTCATGCTGTTCAGTGTTAGCAAGGTTCTGATAGCCATGGTTGCCTTGGTTTTAAATTACATCGCTATTGAGCATATAAAATCAGCAGAAGTGCCAGCATCTTGGAAAACTCTTTTGAATGTAGTTGTATGTTTTCAGTATGCCATTTATAAAACTATGTGAAATAATAGTGAAGTTGTTCTTCTTTTTCTTTGCAGTTACCCTGTCTAAAAACATGAATTCCTTGATGTTCCTGATCGTTCACAGGTCAGCTGCTGATAACCACGTTTGTGCTGATGAGTGGCAAGAAGATTTAAGCCAGCTGGCCTGCAATCAGATGGGTTTAGGGTAAGGTCAGTAGTTTGTAGCATTGATTAATTTCTTAGGACAATTGGAGTGCTGGAGTTAGATGTGAATGATCATTGATCACTGCAATGTTAGACCTAGTGTGGAAATAGTTCATAGAGAAAAGAGATGATGAAATTTTGTGAACTACAGCAGGAACAAAAGCTTACTAAAATCTAGGCACTTTCACCACTTTATAAACATTACATGGTTCATACTAAAAGAGTGTGTTGAAAAGATAATGATGTCTTGCCAAGCCTCAATATTTGAACTTGCAGTTATTGCTGAGGCTCAGAATTGTTTGGCAATGTGATACTCTGTGTCTTCCTAAAGAATTAAAGCAGACTTGTCTTAGGAAACACAGGAAAATTTCTCTGCATTCATTTGCATTCTGCAGTAAGTACTGTGAGCTAGGCAAGCAGATATATTTAACTTGGATATCGCTGAACAATGAATTGTTAAAGATAGAGCTTTCTGTGTGGAACTTAGAGGAAAAAAATAGCCTCTATGTACCTTCCTTATTGCACACACGCTGAAATAATAGCTGCTTTATGGAATAGTTGATGCAAAATATAAATGTTGGATAAAAACCAAGTTCATCTGCTCTGATACCCAAACCTGTCTTCTACCAGGAAAAGACAAGCCTGATGGTATAGAAGGATATGTTTTGTTGGTGTCTGATCCCCAAACTGGATTAAGAAGTGTCTTTTCTATCTGCCTTTTACCACTACATATACTGACATACAATCTTGTTATTTTTACCTTTCTCAAAAAACGCAGGAGGATAAAGACCCTGGGTTACAGTGTCCGCACTTAACCTGCTCTGTATTGCTTTGCACTGCATGGATGCTTGACATCAGTTCTATCAGATGCCCTGAAATCCAAGACTGCCTGTACTGAATGGACTGCCTGCCATTCTAACGCACGTGCAGTTCTGTACTCCTTTAGCTAGTTCAGTATATCTAAATAATGCTAACAATATCTTTGTGCTTTAACTTTATATAACATCCTAATAAGCTTAAACTCCTTTGATACCTTCAAAAATAGTTCTTGCTTTTACAATTACTTTGTTGTCTAAGAACAAACTGATGGTCTTAACATTAAGAATTTACTTAACTTTCCTGTGATGATTGCTGCTAGGAAAATGAAAAAGCTATTAAATTATCACAAGACCTCTGATTCCTTACTTTTTTCAGAGGTGTGCCTAGGCTGACATTGGCATGAGTGGAAACTTACACCTTCCTGCTTTTTCACTGAGGCTTGCTAACAGATGTTATCAATCCTATCACTTTTAAGAAATGTATGAGACACAATTCTTATATCACACAAATCCATTTTCTAACAGAAGATGATATTCTACAAATCAATTTTTCTACAAATTCTTTTTTGTAGTGACAGGTGATTGTGTGAAGGGCAGTGAGAAATTCCAGTTCAAATCTGAAGTCTACAACTTCAGTCTGACTCTAATACTAATTTCTAATTCTTCCTGGCAGTGCTTCAGAAAACCAAAGTAGTGTTTGTCTTTCCTTTCTTGATGCCTGGTTTTGTCAGTCACCTGAAGCTTGATTTTCTTAGCTATTCTTGAAGTTTTCGTGAAGTGGCACTGCCAGAAATACAGTAGATTAGCTTTGAAGAAGATCTAGAAGTAAAACAGAGATTATAATGCATTCACCAGAACTAATTTCAAAAAGGAGTAATACAAATTAATATAATTATTTAATTCTTTTGTTAACATTGCATAAGCGTTCAGTGATAATGTCACAGAGGGTGACATTTTCTATATGGTGAAGTGGAAGACTCAGGGAATTTCATGGCACTGTGAAATCTGATCTAAAGCCATAAACATCTTTTTGCCATTATGTCCTGCATACATTATTTATTTGATTTACGATAACAAGAAAGTCTGAATGTGAGGTTGATAACATTGGTGTGTTTAATAAGCTATTTCCAGTCACCATTAAGGGTGCAGGTAAATTAGACTCTATATTGCACAGAGCTCAAAAAATGATGAAAAAACCCCTCCTTTTTATCCCCTCGCCCTTTTTTTTTTTTAAAAAAAAGTAAATATAATGTATTTTAAGCAGTGCTTTTCTTCAGGTATTCCCAATGGGAAATATTTCATTTTACTCCTTCAGAAAATTAAAGCTGTGAATATAGAAACTCTGTCCATATCATAGCACACTGCAGAAACTCCCAGCTTTGTGGCTATGCAGATTTCTTTAATAATGACTTATGATGATATTTGATTTTGATTTAGTAGCTCTCTTGTTTATTATTAGAGGAAAAATAGTGCACATGGGATATCTAAGTTGAGATTTCTTGATACCTTAGACCAGGAATTACAATGAGTGGTAGCATATGGTATTTTTATTTTCTGTAAAGTTCTGCAAACTATTTTTCATAATTGTGTCTGGTGCTTCCCAAATCACAGCTCCCAATTGCAATATAATGTGGTAATGTTTAAAATACGAAAGCAATGTCTTTCTAACAGCTTGTAGATATTTTTAACTCTTCAGCCTAAATTAATCTGAAAAAATTTAAGATAATTAAATGACAGTGGTTAAAGTTAGGTTAATTTAGCTGATAGTGATAACGTTTTACAGAATATCAGTCTGTCTATTTGGGAGGTATAAGCATTGTGTCTGAAGCAACAGTAAAGATAATTCTATTCTGCCTATTGCACAGAATTTGAGCTATTTTCCTGGATGTTGTCTGAGATCAAGGATTAGCTGTATCCTGGTGTGTGCTGCAGAGGCTGTGCTGCTGAAGATAGGCATACTGTGCAGGTTCAGAACAGGATGTTAGAAGACTGTAGATTTGTCTTGGAGCTTAGTTGAAGAAAACTATTTTTAAATATTCTTATGTCCACATTTTTTGTTGACGGAACAGTAATCATAAAACCACGGTCTGCTCAGATCTTAAACTTGACAAAACCAGAAGTTAGTGGAGTTGTTCTGTTACTCTCTGGCAATCTAGTGGAATAGTTTGTCTGTCTTTCCTGCACTAGGGTGAGATAACAAATGATGATGATAAACTTCAGCAGCTTATACCCAGCAGAGTACAGGGGAATTTTAGCTGATCTGCTTGTTCTGGTCTAGCAGTATCAGCATAAAATCACAACTGTTTACCAAGTTACTCGTTTATAAAAATCTACAGTAAACTCTGATACCTCCTTCTGCTGCTGCTGCTCCCTTTCTTGGAGGCTGCGCTGCTGATGATCCACTGAAACAGGTAGCTCCTCTTCCTTCTTTCCTCTGCCATAGGATTTACTGTCTGTGTATTCGTGGAAGAGGAAGGCCAGCCTCTTGTTTCTGCCTGGCCTCTTCTCTTTCCTAATACTTTCTCACTCTCACTCTTTGGTACAAAGTTCTTTAATAATATTTGCCAACTGAGCAGTCAAGCTGCTGGACCAATAATCTTTTCTTCTCACATGAATTATTACACTGTCTAATTACTTTCTAACTATTTCTGCAACAGGAATAATGGAAGTTTAGTTTAATGACTTATTTGCTTAAAAACATCAGAAAACGAAAAATGGAATACTTCTGTCCTTACCCGCATTAGAAGTTTGAACTTCTGAATTTAACCTACTTTATTTTCTCCAAGAATAAAGATGACATTTAGTAAATCAAATTCCATGCTAAAGATAAAGTATTTGAACTCATTAATTCAATCTGGATTTCTAGACCCACTCAACAGAGTGTAAAATATGCTTGACCTACCTTGAATATATTCACATTGTCCATGGATGCAGTGTGTTCTATTAAATCTTTAGAGAATTTAGCAAAATAGTGAATTCTTCAGATTACTTTTTTTTTTTTTTTTTTTTTTTATGAATGGCAGCAAATAAGTCTATCAAATAAAATTTACTGAAAATAATATTACAAACTGTGGTAGATGTGGAAGACTCTTTTAGTAATTTTGAGCAACCATAAACCAATGTTAAAATACATAGACTTTAATCAGTGTATTAGAGTTGTATTAGATTATATCTGATAGATTATGTCTCATCTTTCATGTATGTATGTAGTTTAAAATATAATTATTTGGATAAGGCTTTTTTGAAGAAATTTCAGCCTAATAATTCCTTGCAAATTGTGACAATTGCTTCAAATAGTCACTAAGCATATGGTCACTTACCTCATATAACACTTTTTAGCTCCATGATTGGATATTTTTCTTTCTTTAAATAAGAGGATAATTGTTATTAGCTATTTAATATCTCCAACAACCTTGGAGCTGTCTGTGCTTCTGGGCAACTAGCTGTACGTGGCCCTGCTTGACGAAGATGACCAGATGACCTGCTTGGACCAGATGACCCTTCCAACCTTGACCAATCTGTGATTCTGTGGTTAACTAAAAGAAATAGAAAGATACATGAATGTTGCCAAACAAAGAAACCTTCTTATTCTAATGACTGATAACAAGTCCTTTTTCAAACTATTTTATGTTACCGTTCGTACAAATGGTATTATACCCCCCCCCCTTTTTTTTTTTTTTCCCTAGGGGCTTCCAAAGAAAATTCACTCAGTTTAACACTGAACAGATATTAAATGTCATTCCTGAAAATTCATTCTGGAATCTGCAAGTTGAAATTTTTTTCTGGCTAATGTGTTACTAGCAGTAGAATTATGGGAATGTTTCTTAGTGAATAATAATTCTGTAAAGGACAGTATTGAACAAAAATAACAGTGAATTTTGTTCAAATTCAGTGAATAGTCTCAGCAGGGGAAAAAAACTTGAAAATTCAGGTTACTTTGTTTCAACTTTTTAAAATGAAACACTTAAAACTTTATTTCAAACCAATATTTTTCTTTGAAATGTGTCCTTCATCTTTTTTAAATTAAAAGCTAATTGACCTTAAATGGAGGACTTTACATTTAATTTTAAGTTGAATTAAGACTTCAAGCTAAGAAAATCTGTATTTTATTTGAAGTTTTACATTTAGTTAGTCTAAAATAGCCTTTTTTAAGTTTAGCTACAAAATCATGCTTTATGAATCC